GCCTTGCGATGACCCGGTTAGAAGAATAGAGGTATTAGATTTGACTTATGTTAAGAAAGGTAGGGGTAGACCTAAAAAGACTTGGTTAGAAACAATGTTTAAAATTGCGTAATCGAGTATTGAGGTGTTTTTCGTTCGTGAGGCGAGGCGTAAGCCTCAAAGCGTTTTGAGGCGTAAGCCTCAAAATCAAAAAATTGCGTAAACATAAAAATATATATATATATATATATATATATATCATTTTAAATATTTAAAATGACATAATTTTGTTTGAAATTAATTATGTGGGGGTCATTTATCATTTAGAATTTCGATAGCTTCTTGGCATCCCCACCCCACGAAAAAGAGGTTGGGGAGGCAATTGTCTTTCAATCTTTCTGGCCAGTTCAAAGATACAACGGCACAAGGTCTTCGTTTGTTCATTTCTTCTGGCCGGATCAAAGATGCCCAAGTAATCCACTTTACCTAACTCTTCGACATATCTGATATAAAGCATCACAAATAGGTCTTCACACTTATGTTGACCACCTTTGTCTTGCCATCTGTTTGAACATAATATGTCATGCTCCGCTTCAAAACTATCCCCTGTATCGCCTTGATCATGGTTTTAAGTGAAACCACGGTGCTGCATAGGCTAGCATCTCCACGTAGCATCACCCTCTTCCCCTCCACTTGAATCTCCATAGTTAAAAATTTCCAGCCTACTTTTCTCTTCCCAAGCGTCTGTAACCACTTCATCCATAGGATCACATCAGTTCTCCTGAAATCCAAGGGATGAAAATCCTCCACTATTTGTAAGCCTTGGAGCATCAGCGCCAACCTCTTGCAAATTCCTCTACTCTTCTCCACCTTCCCTATCCCTATCATGACTCCAAAGCTCCTTGTATCTAGTAACTTCAATTCCAACTAGTCCACGACCTAATTTGAGATGAAATTGTGAGTAGCCCCACTATCCACCAAGACCACTACTGGCAACTCCCTGATCTGTCCCCTCACTTCATGTTGTGATTTGGAGTAAATCTCACCACTGAGTTAAGAGACACTCCCACCACATCAAGGTGCAGGTAATCTCCCCCCGCTTATGCTTCCTCCACCAACTTCTCATTATCGGTATCCTTCTCATCACAAATTGTAGGGACCTGGAGTGTGCGGTCTTTGCACCGATGGTATGGTGCATACTTCTAATCACATTGGAGCACAAACCCTTCGCTCTCTTATCCTACACCTCTACCTCCATGAAATGATTGAATTTGGCTGTGGGGCGAACTCCCCCGTTCTTCTTCCAAGGTGCCTCCCATTGAAATGACATTTTTTGGGTCCTCGGTGTCAGTGAAGTCGAGGCACTCCTTTAGGAGACTCCCATGACTCTGCCCCTATTGGTTCTCTCCATCTATCTCCAATCCTCTACCATCTGAGCTAGTTTCATCGTCTCCCTCAACCCCCTCAACCTCAATAATCGGAGGTCTGTTCGTATGTCAGATAATATGCTCTTTGTGAAATTTTCCTCCAACACCGCCTACGAAATCCCCCTCAATTGTACTGACAGCAACTTAAATCTCCCCCAATACTCCATGACGGTCCCCTCCTAAGTCAAGGCAAAGAATTGCTCATGGCAAGTCTCCTTCCCGAATGGCTTGAAAATACTCCAACAAGCAATCCTTAAACTCTCCATCCGATTCTTCACAGATTTGATTTGCTCCACTTCACCTTCCAACGCATCCAACTTTTTTGTAGTTATCTCTCCAAAATCTCACTCTGATACCAATTTGATCTGACTTGGAAGCAAAAACAACAAATTAGATAAGAAAATGCAGGAACACACATATGGAGGCTGATTTTTTATTATTCCTTCAACAATAACGAAACATATAATTGATCTACATTCGAGGTAGATCGGCTATCCCACAAACCTTAGGTGCTGCTAGGAACAACTCCAAAGAAAAACTACCGCAAACACAAATATAATGCCCGTAAAACCGCCCAATTAACTCTAACATAAACTATCCTACTTCCCTCCCAAATCTAAATTCAAATCATCCATCATTCCCTAAATAAATCTTTCTTAATTTCCTTCCAAACAAATCATCAATCTTTCTCTAAATAAAGATTTCCTAACTCCCTCTCAATCAAATCAGCCTTCTTTTGCTAAATAAAACTTTTATAATTCCTTCCAAATCAAACCAGCCCTCTTTCTCTAAATAAACATTTCCTAATTAGTTTCCCCTTAATTCCTACTCCTTACATAATGAATAATAGAACCCTGGCCACCACAAGGAGGCCAAAATTCCCCCCGTTGCTGCCCCTGATTCCGCCCAGCCAAATCGTTGGTTCGGCCTGGGCTTGGACGGCCGACTAGGCTGGGTTGTGCCAGCCAACTAGGCTTGTGTGGGCTGTTCTGGGCCAACCTAGTGGGCCCTCCTGACGTACCAAAATGTTACGACAGTGCACATAAAACAATCTCCTTGCTCATCCATATCAAGAGTAGTTTACAAAAAGCCTAGACATGTGCAGCAATTCTTCCTTATCGCTGTCATGAGAATTCTCTGTAAACACATGAATATACATTTCTATTAAGAAACATGAGGAAGATAATGAACTGACCATTTTAAAAAGCTAGTTGACTACCAATTATTTAGCTGAACAAATTCAAATTTGAACAGAACCAAAAATTAAACGGAAAGTTGAAAACCTCTAGCCTAGTTTGGCCCAATAATTGGGTCAGCTTTCTTGGTGAGAACTCAAGTTTTTGTTCAAGTTATTGGTCAAGTTGGCCTAATCAATAAATACATCAAATTCCACATATAGAGAGCATTCATAGTCCAAACCTACCTATTAAATAGGATCAGGCAGGTTTAGCCAAGGAAATTTGTGATTTCAATAGATAGTAAAGCTACTATGGGTCAATCGAGCTGGTTAAGGACCTGAGCTCAAACATAGGTGTACTTCTATTGTCTAATGTTGCATTAACCAACTCATGACTTCATTCAAATTAACATGTTACTTCAAGCTTATTAGAGCTTAACTGTACATCAAACAAATCATAAATGTACCTGAGAACAATCGCGGGAATGCATTGGTTGGAATGAGAACATATCAGTATCAGTAATGACCATCTCTCTCAACTTCTGCAAATTAGAGAAGCAAGAAACATTAAGTAAAGGACGAAGACAAGATAGTTCAAAATTATAAGTTTTTGAATTCAAGATTATATCTAACCCCAGATATTGAGAACAATGACATTGAGTAAAATTTCATCAACAATGATATATTAAAAATTGACCATGATTTTTTTCAATATTCATCATATGCACCAGTGTGAAACAGATAGATATACATGCATGCGATGTAGGGAAACCATACTGTAACCATATGTAGCATTTCCAAAGTCATACAAACTTATGCATTCCGGTCCAATTATTACAGCAAAACATAGATGGAACTATACAATTTTTTGATAAATAGAAAACTTGCAATAAAATCTAGCATTTTGAGTGGCAAAAATTGAAATTATATAAGAAAAGAGGGTCGAGATAATATAAATTAACAATTTATGCATAACACCCAAAACAAACAAATATAGAAAATTCAAATACATATCCTTGCCTTATTTATTTGATCTAGGTCAACACCACGATTGATCATACGCTGTCTCCGTTTCATGGCAATGAGTTCTTTACGGTGTTTCTTCTTCCCACCTGAACCAAAAAAGAATATTTAAAAATGTTAACAATGAAAAGGATGAAAGCTAAAAATGGTAATAAAGTGCCTATCTAGAAAGTGGATTAATCGTATGCTATACTATCATTCTTGCATGACCATGATAAATGCTAAAGCAACACCTGAGCTTACAAATAAATAGTGTAGAAAGGTCCTAACTTTCCTCTAAATGGCACAGAATAAGGAATACATGAAAAAATATGCTATCCATTACACCTACCCCTACATTAAGGCATAGTATATGTATGCCAAGGGGCACAAATACTTCGCAAGGCACGGCTGATGGATCTTTCAAGAAGTTGACAGTCTCCTTTTTGGAGTGATATAGAGACGGTGGAAGGTTTTGGAGGAGTTGAAGGGTAGTTAAGTCACCAGCACTGATGTGAGGGATTTTGTGATGAGGCCAAGAGCTATACGAGGTTAGATTTTTATTTGTAAAATTAAGAAGGGGGTTGGCCGAGAGCTTCTAATGGAGAATTAGGATTTAGATAATGAAGGAAAAGAGAAGAGAATTGTGAAGAGGGTTAATTTAGGCTTATTGGGAAAGCCATCTCTCTAGAGCTCCGTATAAAGGTTTTAGGCATTGGATGGATGGAGTAAAGAGGCCAAGAACTTCTAGTATTGAAGATGAGTAGGAAGAGGGCTAAGAGTTAAGAGAATTAGCTCTCTTCCTACTAAACTAAAAAATAACAAATTACGTGGAAATAAATAAGAAAAAAAATTACCAATTAAGAAAAAACTAGGCCACATGTCAATACAAGGAGACAACTTCCTCAAGAGTTTAGCAGTCGCATTTGAATATCACTCAAAGGAATCATGCATCCAACTAGTGCTTACAAGATCAAAAATTGAAAGAGTAAAACTTTATTCAAGTAAAATAGTTCTAAATTACATGCATCGGACCACTATTTATAAACTCTTCATAAACTAGGCTAGTAGATAAGATTGGCAGGGAATCAGCTAAGTGAAGTTTGAATTAATTCCCATAGCACAAGAATTCCCAATTAAATTTAAATTTCATAATCAATAGGAGTAGTTACAAGCCCAATTTAGACAAACAACAACAACCAAACCAACTACACATGCACACCCTAAACTAGCCACAAACACCATGTACTCCCAACACTCACTACGACCCTCCCACAAGGACAAAAATGCATCAAAACTAAGCACCCAAACCTGGCCAGCTCACAGCTTGTCGATTGAGAGCTTGCTCCTTAATTCCTAGTCACTCAATTTGCTTACGTGACACGCGAGTTCCCCGTGCGTTATCATCCTAAAGGGAGGCGAGTTCCCCATGCATTACTTTAGTTTAGGATATGTTTGTAATTATGAACTCATTCACTTGATAACTTGCTCATTCGAGAATTATGAGGGAAAAAAAAAAACAGAAAAAATAGAAAAGAGTTATTTTATTATAACTGATTTCATATTTGTCAGTGCAAACAAATTTCCATTAAAGGTAGAAGATTTTTAAGTCATCAATGCTCCATGTTTCTGACACCTCCTTTCTCGAGTGAATCTGTTGTTGGTATGCCCCGGGGTCTACTTGTCTTTTGATAATGTAAGGGCCTTCCCAAATTAACTCTAGTTTGCCTGACATTAACTGGTGAGTTGTTGCATCTACTTTTTTTTCAAAACTAAGTAGCCTAGGTGGAAATACTTTACATTGACTTGTATAATATAGTAATTAACCATCATCCACTTTACTTCTCCATGTATGAGCACAGTCTGTGCTTGGAGTGCAAGCGTTCTTGATTCCTCTCCTCCCATTCACCAAACTCGCCCTCATTGAACTCTAATTAGTTGGCTAATTAATTCCCACAAAACAAAAGAATTCCCAATTTAATTTTAAGTTCCATAATCAATAGGACTAGCTACAAGCCTAATTTAGATATCCCAATTTAGCCAAATAGCAACAGTGGAACCAACCACACACAAGCAACACCCTAAACTAACCACAACCCCATATGCTCCCACCACTCACTAAAAGAAGAGGATAATTCTATAGAAAATATTCCACTAGCTCAAGGTCCCTTTAAAAAGTACAAATTTTTTTAAAAATATTCATTTTTCACCCCTTATTTATAAGGATCTGAGAGCTAAAGAAAATGCTACATCCGAAAAAGAGAAAAAATTGCAATAATAAGTAGCCCATTGTACGAATTACCCTTAACATGTGTCATGTTCTAACTAACCTGGTGAATGTTTAGATCTTTATTCAGGTCCTCTATTTTAGGGCGAATTCCCTTGTGTAGAGTGTCCACAAGTGAGTGGATGAGGGTGAGTCTATTGATAAAGATCGAGTTGAGAAATTTGTGGCTGACAAGTCCTCTGAATTCATTGGCAACCTTTTTTTATTAAGTCTCGAGATTGCTTCAATATTGAAGGCTAGTACATTCAAGTTGCGGGGGTAGTGAACTGCATAGTCGGCTAAGTGTGGCGAGGCGAATCAGAACCCTCTTGAGAAGGACATTCAAAGTAACTTGGATAAGTGATAGTCCTTGATAACATTCCGCCCTACAAGATGGCAAGTGGCTTCGATGGGTGGTTATTCTTGAGTGGCAAGTCTTCATCTGAGTGGTCCATAAAAAGCCTTGGCTTTCTTATGGGAGACGATTCCCCTCTTACTATTTCATTGAGTTGGGGGTTGGTAAACCTCAGGCATGTCTTTATTTCCAAGGTCCACGAAGTTCATGTTCACATGTTAGGAAATGTCAACTAATTGTTAAGTATTTGAAAAGGCATATACGAGTGTAAAATTTCGGCCCACAATTGCTCATTTACTATGCTGCAACATTAGGACTACATATATCTTATTCTATTTTGACTTAATTTTTATTATGGTTAAGGATAGGATTTTGACTAAAAGCCTTTTTGAAAATTATTTAATATATAATATTACTTGTGTTTCAAAAAAAGCATAACTTCTAAAAGTGTATTCATTTTTTTAAGCTATTTTTTGAATGACTACTAAAAGATAAATCAAATAATCTCCCCCCCCAAAAAAAAATACAAACTTTTCCCCCTAAATCAGCCCTAATCCCACCATAAATGCACCCCACTTTTCCTCCAATAATATTTCATTAATCCTTCTCGTCCTATAAGCTCCTAGAATTCCGCTGAGCGAAGGGGGACAGGGTCCACAGCTGCATCAAAGACATTACAAAATGCCACCCCAAAAAAAAATTCCAAATCAAATTATGCTTTCTAGAATACATGCATCATGACACATGTGCAATGCATTGCAATGTGTAGATTGCATCAAATATAATAATAGGTAGTTTAGACAATGGTTGTCTGACATATACATGAAATGTTAGGATTCGGTTGACAAGAAAATTACCCACATTTATGTTCCTAAGTTCTTCAAATAAGATAACATTTAGGTAGCCATTTTACATATGGGAATGGGAGAAAATATGTAGAAATGTTCTTCCATGAAGACAATTTTCTAGTTTTCATTTGACTTCCTTCCTTGATCCATTCTAATCCAATTCTTTGCTCCATTCAATTGTTATTTTTCAAATTTTCAACAATCTTCTAGTAAAGGATTGTGGATTATATCTTGTATCCACTTTTCTTCATATTCACCAATACATAGGGAGATTTGGGAGTATTTCTGTTACCAATAATCAAACAACGGGTTCTTCTAACCCATAAGAATAAGCACCAATGGTTCTAGCCGAATCTGTAGGAGAGTATGGATTGTACAAAGGCTTAACTAGTTACTATCGCAAAAGAGAGAGAATGAATTTCCTAAGGTGAGTGAGACATGGATGTAGGTGGTTAGAGCCAAACAAACATAAAATCCTCGATTTGCACTTTCCTTACTCGTTACATATTTGTGTTCTATGTTTAAGTTTATGTGGTGATTTGTATATTTACAAGTCAAAGCGTAGTTTGGTTAAGTAGATTTGTAATACTGAACTTAAGGCTTAAATCACTCAACTAGGTTAAGTAGATTTATAGTATTGAGCTTAAGGCTTAGATCACTCACTAGCAGGTATAATATCTAGGACTCACTTTATAAATATTGTGTTTATTTGTATATTGTTTAGACAGCTAGATCCACTGTGCTTGAATGTTTGGGTGTATCAAAAGAGTTCGAAAAATTCAAGTATGATATTCACACTCTAATTCAATCACTCTCATGTGTGTGTCAGCACCCAACACTTCAAAAAGCACGACCAACACTTGAATTGTGGAGCACCTATTTTTGAATTATTGGCAATGATCCATAGGTATTCTTCCCATTGAGGTTTAAACTTTAAACTACATAATGAAAGCAACAATGTCAAGAAATTGGTTTATCTAATAAAGGAGGAAAACAAATAAATATTTGCCTAATAGAAAACCCTTTTTTGTGGAAAGTTTTGTTGTTCATAATATTACTTAACAGTGTGCTTCTATGAATATATATTCCTTTCTTAGGAAAATAATCTGTGAATTATTTTTTCTTTCCAAGAGCAATTCCGTCTGCTATTCCAATTTTTACACTTTTAAGTGATTACTTCAAATTTGGTTGTTGACAACAATATTCCATGATTAAGTTTTTTTCCTTTCTCAAAATATTTACTAATATTTAACATTTTTGCACGTAGTAGTTAGATACTAAATTAATAGTCATAAAATAAACACAGTGAACTAGATGTTGACTACAATTCACATCTGCATGAATCATTAATATCAATCTTCTAAATTACCTTTCAAAATATATTTAAGGATCATTACTAATGCAAAAATGTGACCAATATTGAGTAAAACAACATGCACTTGGGGCAAATTTATTTAATTGTAAGCATTTCAATCTTAGACCTGAAAGTGCATCATATATTCTGTGAATTTTATTCTTGTGTTTGTTTGGGCAATATTTTCTTTTATTTTTACCCACCCTTAGTAACTTTTCATTTTATTATTTTTACTATTATTATAAGTAATGGTATAACCTATCATCTCAATAATTTAATACTATTCTACTGTTATTAGGGAGATTTACATGTATAGCACTAAAAACTATCTTATCTATATATTGAACACCTAAATTTTACTATTTACTCACATAGCACTTAAAATTTTATATAAAATAAAAATTAACCCCCACATCAATACCTTGTTATTCACATGCCACTGGTCCCTTCACTTCGTCAGTGATTAGGTAGAAAAAAGAATAATTTTCGGCGGCAATGGTGAGAATGGAAGTCATCGAGGAAGAAATCAAAGAAAAAATTGCGGCTAAAAATGGAATTTATGAAGCTGGCGTTGGAGAAGGGGGACATGGGCAGCAGTGGAAGCTCTGTCTTAACGAGGAAAAGAGGGATGTCAGCCAAAACCCCTCCGCAGTGAGATCCCATCGCAACCTCCTCATATCCAAAGAGATTCATCAAGACTTCCTCCTTGTCGTCAAAGGTTTCAACTCCATCAACAGAGTGTTATATTACGTAAATAGTGAAGCATAGGTGTTAAATATATAAATGAAATAGTTTTGAGTGCTATGTATGTAAGTCACCCTTGCTATTAAATTTAAAAAAGCAAACTAAAGATGAATTTCTAATCCTTGAGATTGAAACTCACTTCTCATATTTTTGAATGTGTATTTCAAGAATGAAAATTAAGTTCCATCCAGCTTCGACCCACGAAAGAATAAACTCACTGCTCGAAGTGAGATGGAATCATTTCAGAACACTTACGAATCAAACTAACCATTGCTGCCTGTGCATTATTACCAGGTTTCAAAGAGTGAAAAAGGCAACTTTCGAAGTGTGATGACTAAAAATGATGCTATCCTGGCTAATTTTGGAGATATTTTCTCTGCAAGTCATCTTTGACAAATAAAAACGCATTAAACATATTCACTTCATATTGAAGATAAAATATAACTCGCACCAGTACATATATGTTGATCTATGTATATTTCTGGCATGAAATCACATTGTGATTATCAAACAGAAGCATAAAAAAAAAAAACACAAATGCTCATTAGAACCTAAGAAAATGTCATTTTTTAACAAAAAGTGACACGAATTTCTTTCCTTGGATTTTAATGCTGGAAACAATCCTGCTTTCAAATTACCTGGGAGTTTATCTAACTTTCTGCTTTTCTGAGACTCAGCAGGCCACGATCGAGAAAGATGCGGAGGTTGCCGTTTTTTCCGCTTCCCTGAAGCTGTTCTAGAATCCTTGACAAACAATAAATCTTCCAATCCTGACACATCAATGTCCACAACCGGCGAGCCGAATTGACGAGGCCTTACATTACCTTTACCCTTTCTGGAACTAGGCTTCTTCATGCCATACTCCTTGGATGCAGTCATCAAAGCCTTTGCCCCAAGCTTAAAACCACCTCCTTTAGGCCTACCATCACTTCCTATCGACCTATCTTTATCAGTCCCATCCAAGTTCACTTCCGTCAGCCACTGAGCGTTAAGCAGCTCCGAACTCCCTCCAATGCCTTCCAGGTAATCTTCAGCCAATTCTTCGTCAATATCAGAATTTGAATCCACATCTGAAGAACCATCTGACGAATCAGCATCCTCCTCTTCGGTATCAGAAGAGTTTGACTCGCCGGAATAAGAGATTCTTCTCGCACCAGAATCGCTACTCTTGCCATCATAGTCGAGCCCATCCTCTCCCTCGTCTGAAGAAGAACTATCCTCCGTGTAAACCCTCACGCCTCCAATCATCAAAAACCTGTCTTTTTTAATCACCGGCGTCGAATAGGAATCCAAGCAATCCATCTCATCTCCCTCGAAATTTACAACCGCAGCATCCTCCTCTTCCTCTTCCTCTCCCTCTCCTTGGCCACGATACCCCAATCCAACGCCGCCGACGATTGGCGCATCGTACTCATAGGAAGGGGCATCAACCAACTGATCGGGATAGGAATCCCGATCCACAAAGGCAGCAACGACGGTCTCGTCGCTGACACCAGCAGTTGCGGTAACTTCAGGATAAGTGTATATGAAGGCGTTCCCATGAAAGGGTGACTCGTTTTTCGAGCTACTTCCAGCTTTCGTTGTAGATCTTTCATGAACAAAGGAAGAGAGGTCAACAGAGATAACGGGTTTACGACGGGATGATGCTCCTCCATTTGTAGGAATTTCTTTACCGGACCTCCGCCTGCCACCATTTCCGCCGCCCATGAGTTCCGATAGTTACAGAGGCTTGTTCTTCAGCGCCGGAAATCAACGGCGCATGGCGGATATGGGTGAAAAGGTTGAAGTAGTGAAATACGGCGCTGCAGCCACCTGCTTCGCTCGTGAGGTAGTAGCCCGGTAACTATTTTATTAGTAATTTTTTTATGGGGATTTACACTAATATCATAAAATTATTGTATATTTATATATTTAATAATTAATATTTTATAGGGCTGTCAATTTTTGACATAACCTAAAATCCGATCCGAAAAAATCCGAGTTTGGGTGACCCTATTAGCAAACGGATCAAGTTTGGGTTTGGATTGTTGACCTATTTCAAAAAACGGGTCGGTTTGGGTTAACCAGAAAGTCGGAGTCAATTCCGGATTTCCGCTCGCACTCACGAACTTCGCCTGCTACTCGCACTCGTGACTCGTCGATCGCCTTCCGCCGTTGCTACAATTGCCCGCACTCGCGGACTCCGCCTGCTGTCCTCGCCTCCACCGCTGCTTCACCGCCAGCTTTGAATAGGAACTAGAAGTAGCAACGGGAACTCAGCTCGCGCTTCTTCAGCCAAATCTCTTAAATCCGGCGTGGGTTGAGTCTGGGTTGAAATATCCGACCCGTTTGCAAAAACGGGTCGGGTTCGGGTTGACCCGTTTAGATCCAAATCAACTTGGAATTGACCTGAACCCAACCCGTCGACCCGAATTGACACTCCTAATATTTTATATGTTATTTTTAATATTTAAATCATAATAGAGCCCATCTCTATGTCTTCAGCAATACTTACTTAGACGTGGTCTAACGAGTGATCAACAATTCTTGTGGCCTAGATCCGTGATCTTCATTGCACTTTGAAGGGGTGCTGGTCTACCATCTGCCTCAGTAGTAGAGTGGACGTCATAATTTGTGATAGGAGGTTCGCGTCCGCACGGCCCCTACAAAAAGAATTAAAAAAAAATCTCTGTAAGTCTTGAGCCTATGATAGAATATGCAACATTTGCACCACAACAGAATATAATAGGCAACTTTACTTTATAATCCATAGAATTTCATGTACCCTTTTATTTAATATATTTGATCCCCTCTTATCTATATGTACAATAATTTGATTTAGCATACTTGTTAGTGTAGTTTACACATAATACTATAAATTTAGGTACCATGATAGAGGAGCATGATAGATGAGCTTAGTGATGATCTATGGTATTATGTTGAACAAACTATATGTCCATATTAGATCATGATCATGTTGGCCTTTCTATGTCACACACACGCGGATGCAATAAGCTATTCAATGCATTCTTTAATTTTCGTGGTATTGTAATAATTTTATTTGTGCTAGTTATATCGTGTTGACTAGTGACAGACCAAATCCAAGATCAAAGTTTTGGCGACTTATTAGATTTCATTGAATTAAATATACTGCAGAGCTTCTAATTAACTTCAAGTAAGCAAACAAATGAACTCATCGATAAATTTATTTTATTTTTATTCATCATCAAAAAATATATACAATAATAAGTATACACTACAATGCATGACTTTAGATTAGAATGGAGCGAATAAATAAATATCCATGATTGAACAAAAATCTTTTACAGACTTGGAACATAATACAAAATAGGTATTTTATATACAGACTTGGACAAATCAGAACCTGGGACTAAAGTTACTCATTACGTTCTTTACTCTTTTCCTGACATGAAACATAATACAAAATAGGTATGAGCCAACACAACTCAATAGATCATGCCCATTGTTCTAAATTTTTAATAATTACATTTATCTAGTTTTTAAATGTAATTATTAACAAGCAATTGTATTGAATGAAAGGTATTATTAGTTAGCAACATTTAAACATACTTTGCACTGAAAGCAAATAAATAAGTATTTTATATACCAAAGCAAAAATAGCATATTTCTCTCAGGTCATTATGCCTCACATCAAATATAAATATCAGAATTTAGACCCTTATAACTCTATATGCTATTATATAAAAAAAATGTTCGTCATAGCTCTCAATGCTTGGTACATTTCAGATGTTGAGAAATTCAGATCCTTATAACTCTTTATGCATCCCATATAATAGAACTTCCTCCAACATTAGAGCTTCACAGAATCAAACATTTCAAGCAGATAATCATATATAACATTGCATTTTAGTAAATGAAACATAACTAAACTAATTTTGAAAATTCACATAATGTTTTACTCATAGGTAATATATTCAGCTACTAAGCAAACTTTCATAATTTCACAATATTACTATGAATTATTCAAAATATAGCTTTGAAGCTTTACTTGTGCTATAACATTATTTTATGGGATCAAAATTATTTTTAATTGAATAAAAATAATATGTTTTTCAATTTACCCTATAGAAAATTTTAATAAAGTTACACGTTGAAAGTTTAGTCAGTGCAAAGTTATCACCATTTTTGGACTACAAAATTATAATTTAAATTAGAATAATCTCAAAAAATTAATAATTTTAAAAACAGAGATAAAAAAATTTTAACTTGCCAAATAACTTTTAGAACAGGGTTGCTATTAGAAAATAAAGTAGAGTCACTAAAAAACCAATGTTTTTTTTCCACTAGGATTCTCTCTCTCTCTCTCTAACTGGTTGCCCATAGGAATTTGCCCCCCGTGGGTGCCCCGACAGGGTTCCCCCCGGGGGGGGGGGGGGGGGGGTAAGAAAATTAAAATGGCTATAATTTGATGTTTTGATTAAAAATTGTCTTGTTACGCATCGGTTAACCCTACAATACTACCCCTACCACCACACATTTGAATTATTTTGGCAAAAAGACAAAGAGCTTAATGAGCAGCACTGACTACCCCAGTATAAAGACACTTTAAGAAAAAGAATTAAGATTTTCATTCATGCATATAGGCTGCTGGGATCCATTTCGAGAAAGATTTAGATATTCACATGCACACAAAACACACATATAAGGGATGTAAAAAAAAAAAATTAGTGGCTTACCCTCACTAAATCAGGTCATAACTGGTACAACTGTGTACTGCTTAACTAGAAATTAAACTTATAGTGCCTATATTGTGCTTATTGTTGCTAATTTATGTACATGTCGGTTAGAAAATTATTTGTCCCATGTGTAACAACCCAAACTTTTAACTATCAAGATATTGTTCGCTTTAGCCTAAGGGCTTCATGATTTTATCCTATTATTATAACTTCCTAGGAGGTCACACATCTTACGATTTCTTCGGGATAAGCACGCTTAACTGTGAATTTTCTTTCAAAAATTCCAACAATTACATAAAAAGGTACCTCGATATTTAAGAGTTAACTTCTTTTACTAAAAGGGTTCCCCCCCCCCGTCCCCCCCGAAAAGGCCCCC